ACTCGTTTGAGTCCCGTTTCTCTTTTTGGGGTTTTTTGTTGTTCTCCCGCCCTGGCGGGGGGTCGGGCTAGAAGATCTACTAGGTCCCTTCCGACCCTTAATCTATGAATCTATGAATCTATGTTACATTGATTGTGAAGCACATGGCTGATTAACTTGGTGAATTTAAATTGTATAACACTCCACTGAGTTAGATAAGTTTCTCCAAGTTATAGATAAGGAAACTGAATTAAGGAGAAATTTAATGTCTCTTCTCATGGTAGAATTTGGAATAGAATCCAGATTTCCCAACCACCTGTCCTAAATCTAACCCCCAAAAATCTTGTTTTCTAAATGGGCAGTTAGTGTTAACAAGTACATTTTGAAATGTGCATGTAGACAATATTAAGTACGTTCTTTTATTTATAGCCAATGAAGAATATTACCAATTATTGATGACAAATGAAAGCCATCCTTCTGGTCTTGATGTGTCCTCCTATACAATTGAAGAAGTTAAGAACATCACTTCAGAATACATCATGAAAAATGCAGTGAGTATGTGGATTGGGACCACATTTTATATTTGTGTTTTTAATTGTTGAGAATGGATGGAGTTTTTAAGGAAGACATAAATGCATTATGTCCGTATTAATAGCCTTTTTTAGATGGCCCTAAACAGTGTAATCTGAAGAATCTCATCTGTAGTGGTAAAAAATTGATCATATTGGGTACCGCAACTATATTAAATTTTCCCAGATGTTACGTGAATAAAATTCAAAGGACCTCCCCATCTCTGTTCTAATGTCTTGTTTTGCAGAAGTTGGGGTAAGTAGGATATGCCACATTTGATCTTGTAATCCCCCTGAAAGCCCATGTCTTGGGCGGGGAGGTGGCGGGGGGTGGATGGGAATAAACCAAGAAACTGGTCAGCAAGTAAGAGGGAAGAAACTCGGAAAGAACATTGAGAAAGACAGGCACTCTCCACTCTTCTCCATCTCAATTCTTTCAAAAAAAGTTAAGGGAGGAAGTTCTGGGCTTTTCAGTAACCTCTCCAGTGTGTAAACTAGAAAGGGTGGGGATGTGCCGCAAGAGACCTCTGCACCCTTCTTCACAAGAGGGAATTGGAGGCAGCATAAGAACTGAAGTATAACTGTTCTTTTTCTCATCTTTATCTGAAAATGGGATCAGAACAGATATGGGGCAAGGAAACAGCGGGGATCCTCTGGCCTAGCTTCTTTGGGGGAGACGAGAGGCCACTAGGAAGTAGGGGCTAGCTTTTTACCTCTGGTTACTTTTCAGAGGGTACAAAGGGGATCGCTGAGCTTCCTGCATATACATGAGACTTTGTGGTCCGTATAGGCAGCTGGAGAGGCTTCTTTGTATGTCTGGATCTTTTGTGTTGATGGAGGGGTGGAGTGGGGATAATTCTTCCTAGCCCACCATTAACTATTGGAAGTTTTACCTCTTGAAATATGAGCTTACAGAAAACATGCCTGGGTAGGCAGGTTATTCCAAAACTGTCCCTTGTGGACTTCTTTGCTGCCTTGTGAAATATTTACTGGTTATTGTCAGGATACTGAACTGGATAATCAGTCCTGGAAATGATTTCTCCTGAGTGTTATTCATATGAACATTTTGGTGTGGGGTGTGCATGTACTTGTGCTCAGGGGCTTTAGGTGGCCCCTGGTATAAGTTAGCCTTACCATTCTGCTTGGTGCACAGGATGTGAAGAGCAGCAAATGCTTGTTGTGTCTTGGTCCCTCTCAATCTCCTCTTAATGCAGATCAGTGTTTCTGTTGTTAGTTTCAGCCTGCAGCAAACTTTTAAAACCTCAACAATTTAGCTTTTTTCTTTCCTGTTAACCCACAGGCATCTTGATAGCTGCCTTGTGCAAAATAACCCCCAGCTTTCCCTGAATGGCCCCATTCAGTGGTTTCCTAAATTCAAGGCATTGTGCCTCATACAGCAGACCCAACCCAGTGAATGATGGCTAAGTGTGTTTAGTGCCTGGGAGAGTTGTATATTCCAGGAACATGCTTCATCTGTAAACCGCTCATCTTCCAAACCTGCAAGAAGAGGAAGGTGAAACTATATAGATTTGGGTATCCCCTGAGTATACCTCCAGGTAACCAGAGTACTAGTACAATCTCCTTACCCCAAGAATTCCAACTTCAGTTAAAGAGAAATTGTCTTGGCTAAAGAGAGAGGGTAGTTGAAGGGGTAAATCCCCACCACAGTGAGCTCCTGGACAAAGAAATCTCCTTTGCACCAGCCAGTTCCTAACACCTGCAGTTCTAAGTGGTTCTTGATAAGAGCTCACGCCCATGACAGTGGAAAAGACTTGGCACTCAGGCATCAAGTGAAGCAACTGATTCTTGAGACGAGAGAATTTGTATGGTGTCCTTCTGAGGACCTAACTCTTAGTCACTGTCCTGACTTTGCTGATGAGTGAAGAATTGTCCTCTGCACCAGACCCTGCTACAGAACTGCAGTGACTTCACCATACTTCCAAGCACCATGGTTTAATAGAGTAGTCAGTGTTACCAGCCCAATACACGGCACTGGCTGAATTTTGCAGCAGCTTAAGTCGTCATTGCTCTTAAAATGAATTTAATGGTTGAGAGAGAATTGAGGCATAGCAGGTACATGTTGTCTTCTATGCCTTCAGTACAAAGGTCAAGTAACAGTAGGTTGTGGGCATACCATACTGTGGATCAAAGAAATGTCTGATCTTGAGTTCATGAGGCTCATGCATGCTCCACATTGGAATGTTCACATGGATACGTCATCTCTAACTTCAATAACTCCTAAAATAAGTTGGCTTTTTTCCCCTGTATGTCTGTGAGTAGCTAAAGGTTGTCCAAAAGAGCTATAGTAGAAATAATGAGATAGAATTAAGAAAAAAACCCTACAGAACATAGCCTGATTATCAAGAAACATTCATCTATGCTGAAATCATTTGGACTCTGGAATAGTCACCCAACAGCTGTGCTACCGCTTTCTTTTTCTTGGGACATAAAAAATGGGACCAGATAAAGTGCCGAGGCACAAGCTATTTGGAATGTGTCTGTGTTGCCACAGATTAGACACCTCTGGTTGACCCAATAATTTTCTGTTTTCCAATTTTTGTATCGGCCATTTCATCATTGACTACTCTGGTAAATTATTAAACACTTTGACTCGCATTCAATTTGCCCAAGGGAAACATCATGATGATGTGACATGTTTGAGACCCTGTATAGCTTTATTTCATAAAATACGTCCTTTGATGTTATGGGAGGAACTGTATTGATCAGTTCTGAAATTATACAGTTTAGATGAGGACTTTTTTGAGCCACAGTGGCCATGTCTATACGTTCAATTAATGCACTTTTAGTTAATGCACATTAAATCTAGTACCTCCATTGTGAGATACTAGAAAAACGCACATTAGCCCATTTTAATGTGCATTAGTTAAAGAGCATGGGGTTTTTTTGTGATGCCTTAATGCATATTAAAATAGGCTAATGTGCATTAAAACGCACACATACATGTGGCCAGTTTCTAGTAAAAATCTGCAACCAGTTGTCGAAACAAGAAGTAAAGGCAATAGCACAGGTCAGGAAGCATGTGTTATCCCAGTTAGGTTCATCTTATAGGCAGTTTAAAGTGTATTTTGAGGCCTCATGCATCTTACAGCATATTTTGGTGTAATAATGTCTTGTAAATTACAAATATTGCTCATTTTATCTCTGTTGGCATCAAACGAACTCCGGTTTGAAGGTCCAGATACTTTAGTGTGTTAAACTCCCTCAATATATAGATGGACAATGTTTTTCATTGTCTAAACTATTTGAAATTTTGTTTATTGCTTAGGACATGTTTGCTGTGGCAGTTTCCCTGGTTACTGGGGAAATCTTGTACATCTCTGATCAAGCGGCGTCTATCCTCCACTGTAAGAGAGACTATTTTAAAAATGCCAAATTTGTGGAGTTCTTGGCACCTCAGGATGTCAGCGTGTTCTACAGCTCTACTACTCCCTACAGGCTGCCATCATGGAGTATTTGCAATGGAGCTGGTAAGTATTCTCAGAACTGAATATATATATTTGACTATAATTCAGTAATGTAAGTGGGGAGCTGGGGTGACATAGATGCTATGGTGCACAGTTGACAGTCAAGAGGTTCCAAGTTTGAGGCTATAGCAGATATGCTTATGGCGTAGCCATGTCAGATTCCAGCAAATCTGCATATTCTGCTACATACCTTGTCACAAAGATGTATGAGAAGGACATAATGTGTAAGTGCACTTATTTGTTTGAAGTTGTTATACCTGTCCCAACAAATGACTCTCTCAACTCGTTTAATCCAGTTAATAGATGAAACTTGCTAATTCTAAATCAAGTGGAATGGGGAACTCTAATTAGGTGACCGGATGCCTATGCTGGTACACTGGATTCGTTTGCCTTTTTGCTTTCAGTCAACACAAAAGCACCTTTTTCTTTCTGCAAAACTAGTTTTGAAGCATGGAAGAATGTTTTTGTCTTTGAATGGCTATGATTTGAATATCAGAGTTTATAAATTTATTGGATTAAAACTTTATTTAGGAGAATTTAAGAACACTGCATCAACACCAGGGGAAAGAGAGTTGAAGTAGGTGCTGATCCTTTTGGATCATGGTGTATGCATGAAAGTTGGCCTATTGAGCAGAACAGAGTAATGATCAGCTACTTGAGTCTAGAGTGCAGGTTGGCTGTTAGATCATCATGGCTTAGCTTAAGGGGTTTTACGTTGTTTGAATTTCTTCCATCTTAGCCATCACATAATACTACAAATATAACTGCAAGATGTAGTGCATATGTACTTTTTCTGTTTTGATCCAGTTGAGGCCACGTCTAAATTATCCAACTTATTTTCTGATTTTTTTTTTTTTTTTTTTTTTTTTTTTTAAA